AGGTCTCTATTTGTAAGTACTCTATTTTTTATTCCCATTTATCTCGTTTCAATGAGCATTCCTTTGTCTGTCTGCATTGTTTACTGCCTGTTTATACTGCTTATTTTGCATTGCCGATGTACCTGAGTCAAATTCCTCATGTGTCCGACACACCTGGCCAATAAAGCTGATTCTGATTCTGATATGACAGGGACCATTTTCCTGAAAAGTAGTACAACTCTTCACTTATGACTATGATGTGACTGTGTGAAGTGGAGGTGCAGTAACTTCAGTCAAAACACAAGTAATGGCTGTTTTATCAGACTTTAGTCACAATCTTATTATAAATTTGCCTTTTTATAGTCTTGTAATATGCATCAGCTGATTCCTGGAAATAATTAGATTTTAGGTCTCACTTCTAGCAACAGAGACAGTTTCAGTTTATTTGCTAAACTTTTTTTTATAGTACCACAAATGAAAAATTTCTTTGAGGTATTGCATAAGTGTTTTGTGAATGTACAGTAGGTTAAACTTAACATTGTGCTCATTGTTTTAGATTTTGGATTGGGCTGGTTTAGCATTATATGGAGAGAACTTTCCCATGCCATTCCTCAAAGCAGTGAGCAGTTCATGTTGGAATGTGTAAAACATGGTTTTCAAGTCTGCAGATGTCCTACACACACACACACACACACACACACACACACTCCTGCATGCGCGCGCTGTCTTTCCATTACTTCAGGGCACATTGCATTGACTTTCATTCATTTCATAGAGACTTCACCTAATCTTATCAATAGCCACTACTTCCTTCACATCTTACTTTACTGTTAAATGAACCCTAACCTCTCCTTAACCTTAAACCAAATCATCACACTACAATGTGAGCCAACAAGTTGTGTTTTGTGGACTTTCTTTTTGTCCCCATAAGAGTCCCCACATTGTGACTGTGTAAACAGATCCCCACAACATGAGTAACCCCACCCCACACACACGCATATATATATACCCACAGTGAGACATGTGCACACCAACTGTTGAGGTATGCAGAAAGCAAAATGCTGTATCTAGATCCCATACTGTCCTATCAGTGTAAGCTTTCTTTTTTCAGTTCTGTTTCTTATTATTTCTTGGCTTTTTTCCCCCCCTTGACTCTATGTACGGCTTTCCTTTTGTATTTTCTAAACTCTCAGCATTCAGAATGGCAAATCCAGCTGCCCATAGTTGCCCTCACAGCATTTGATGGCGTACCATGGCCTCTGGCCCCTAGCTGTGTGTTTATGTATGCCTTGCACCTGCCCTTCCTTGATGAGCAACAGCACCTCACACATTCACTCAAACAAATATGTCAGGCTGTAATACACACACTTACTGTATGCATCTTGCACACATAAACCAAACTGAATACCAGTGTTCAAACCAACATACTACCAACCCTTGTGGTTTTTCCTTTCCTTATGTACCCCACTTTACTTTGTTGTCTAACAGCTGGACAAAATATTGTCCAGAACCTCCCCCACACAACCAGCACCATGTCAGCAGGTGCACTGTGCCTTTTCAAGGGGATTCTACCTCTAATGCCATGTACGAAAAAGGGGGCTTGGCTCTATGTATATTATCTTCTATTTCCCTCTAGTGCTTGATCACACCAAAAAAACACTGATATGTGTCTGTATAAATGTATGCGAATTATGTGTACATTTGTGCCTTTTTGTGCATGAGCCTTTGCATACCATACATTCTCCTAAGATGATTGATATGGCAACAAATTTTTTTTTGTTTGCTTGTTTTACCAAAAATATTTTGTTGTAAACCAATACGATGACAAAATGAGCCTTTTTTTGTGGGCTTAAGCCTTGAAATTGTCACTAGTTTAAGCTAGAACATTGCTGACGTTTTGTTTACAGTAATTATACAATATGATTACGCACTTAAATATAGACAGTATATATTACATATCACAGTTATTAGAATCTGTACATCAGTCATTATGAGAAGGATATCAGTTCCTCATTTGTGTCCTGTTACGGAATAATTTACATTACCACATTGGTCCTATAGACAGAGAATACCGGAAGGGAAGTTATAGAGAGACATGGAGAATTGCTTTGTTTGACCTGCAGATATATTAGGTGGCAGGCAGCGGGACGTTTCCATCTTGCAGCTGGTCTGATAGAGGGCCTCTCAGAAAGCAGGTGAAGAGGTTGCTGGGTAATTTGTCTAAGAAGGGAGAGGAGGGAAGTCGGTGGTTAGGGATTTTAGCAATTGCCAGTAATTCCCTTGGTTAAATGTGCTGTGTATATGTGTGTACTTGAATCCTGCCCCTTTCTGCTCTGCCAGCTGTTTAACTCTAAACTTGTCTTTGGGTTGGGATTAACAACTGTTAACAGAAATGTGGTAAAGTTGGCATAAAATCACCCAGCCAAGTTTTTTGTTTATGCAGCATTTAGTATTTTATATTTATATAATATTTTGTATTACCTAAGTAAGTAAAAATTTGAACAGCTGTGGTTTTACTGAACAGGGAGGAAAAGATAATATGGGGAACAAAACAGGTTGCACATTTTGATAACAGGAAATATAAGAAAAAAAATCAGATGAAACTATCATCATTCATCATAAAGATTTTCTTCCTGCATGTCCTGCTGACACAGTGACCATCTTCAATCAAGCTTTTCTCACTTCTTATAAATGTCAATATATGACCACATGTCAGATTTAGTCCACTTAGAAGGCTGAACAATCAATGGCATGTTTCTGTAGCCAAGATTCTGAACCATAGCCATGAGACAAGGTCCATAATACATGCTCAGGAAGCTTTCATGTGCCATCTTAGCTGTGGTAACATCCATGTGTGACATCCACTCTTGAATTGTATTTCTTCTTGTTCTCTCTATAATTATAGGCTTCAACTTCTATGATGTTAAGCAACTGTTACAAAGCCACAGTATTTCCCTGTGGTGATTAATAAAGTTCTCATTCTAGTTCTCATGGCTTACAAATTTGCAGAGCTGTAGTTCCCATATGACTATGACAGGCAGAAGTAGAAGTTGTTCCTATCATCTGGGTATTATTTAGACTGTTTTGGTGATAGCATAGTTATTTCTACTTTTCCCCTTGTTAAAGATAAGCTATACATTTAGGCTATCCCAAATATATTAATCTTTTAATATGAGAATCAATCCTAGAAGAGGAAATGTTGGAAAGCACTGTATCCATTTCAGGTTTGATCTGCACATCTTAATGGTTAACTGTAGTTTGGGGGAGTTTTTCGAAGCTCAGTAACCAACCATGGTTTTAATGATAATTAAAATTTTAAATGGTAATACTAACCATTGGAAATGTTATCATGGTTTTACATGAAACGGTAACCGTTTCATCTCTAGAGAGGACATTGATGTGAATGAAAGGAACATGTCCAAACCAGCTTTTTTCTTGGCAGCTTCCAGGACTGTTGCCAAATCATGACCTGCTCTAGATTCATAGTATATATGTACATTATTAATGCAATACCTTCTCACTTAACAGTAGGCCATAAATCCTTGGTATCCCATTCATCTGTTTCATTTGTGCTTCAACCCTTATGTATTTGTGTTTATATTTAACCTTTCTTTTGAATTTATCTTTACTGTTCATTCTGCCTTTCTGACTGGTTTGAGTCACTGGGCCAGCACTTGACAAAAAAATGATTGGGGCTCAGTTGTAAATGCAGTAAAAAAGTGCTGTGGACACTTGTAGGAAATGAAGTGCTGTCACTGTAAGAGGGGATTATAGTGAGCAGTAAAGCCTTATTGGAACAGGTAATGTAAAAACTGAATGTGATTCCTTCAGGTAGTTCCAGCTACAGTAACTGTAAGAATGTAGCATTTCCTCTGTCAACAGGCAGTTTAGCGTAGAACTCCCTTAACTCCACAGTATCTTTTAGCCATCCTCATACACGTCCACGCCCTTTACTGCAGTGCAAACAGTTTCATTTTGGAAAGATGGCAGAGGAAAGGTTCTTCCACATTAGGCTGCCATTGAGAGAAATAATCATAGTGTGAAGAACTCTTGAGTCTCCTGTAATGTAATGCTGGCGTTAGGTGATCTGTAGTTGACACTAAACTGGATACAGACAAGACTGTATTGGATATTGTTTTGGAAAGACATTCCTTATAATGGTCTGTTGTGCTCATTCTCCTAATAGATTCTGTTGTCTAACTTAACATCTTGAAGCCATTGAACTCAGTAGATTTACTTGGATCTTGTAGAACATTTAGAAACAAAACCAAGAAATCAGGTGCTAATAAAGCTTTATCGTGCATTACATGTAAATGGTAAATGTATCATTAGGTTTTTGCTTTGGGGAATGTTTCATTGTGTTCTTTTTCAGCTTAATATAATATGCATTTGTAGTTTTGTTTGGCATATTTATCTGTTATGACGACACACCAACAGGTACCTTGCAAACAGAGCAGCACTAGGCCTGTCAGAGCTTAAATAAAGGCAACACACTCTACCCAATGTTGGCGACATCTCTGTTGGAATGCTTTATGCTGTCTTATCTAGGTATTTTGAGTAGTTTTTCAGAGATCCTCATGGCTGAAATGCAGGTATTTCCCCCATTGCGGGATCAGTTATGGGAGTAATATTCTTGTCCTTGATTTCTTGATCTCTCTCGAATGCTATATTTTGTCCTTAGGTATTTTGAGTTGTTCTCAGGGATTAATTGTGGGAGGATCATTTTTGTTCCCGATTGACTCTCAAATACTATATTCTGTTTGGTTTTAGGTACTTTTGGAATTTGTTTATCTGGATATATGGGTGTGTCTGTTCTTATGGTGTTTTGTTGCTGCTCTTTATTGCTGCTGGAACAGGAATTTCCCCATTGTGGGATCAATAAAGTCCTACCTACCTTTAAAAGCAACTGCTTCCTCACAAGCTTGGGATAGAAAGAAAAAGGGGTCAGGTCAACCACAGCAGTGGTGTTTAAACCTGCTGGACTGCACCTCATTTTCACTTTTTTTTTTTTTTTTAATTAGGTGTGAAATCTCTGGGCTTGTCACCGACTCTTGAGGGCTCAGTCCAAAACCTGGAGCTGAAGTTCTGCAGCCGTGCGACGGTGAAATGTGCCTCAGGAACAGTGGGAGCTGTAAAAGTTTGTGCCAGGACTCCAGGTGTGTGCAGCTGTGCCCTGTTAAAACTTTACTGCCTGTGTAGGAGGGAGTGAATTGAGACCAACCAAACTCTTGTTTTACTTTCTTTGTACTGTTATGGACTCTAGTCTGTCTTTCTTCCTCCCACTCAATCTTTATCTTGATTTCTTTCCTGCAGTGTGAATCAGATGCTGTTTTCTCCTTGTGGTGGTGTTAACCCATGTTCTTCATAATCTTTTCCATAACATGTCATGATTTTCAAAAGTGACTTCTGTGACACTTATTTATTTATTTACAAATTTCACCTGCAGGTCTGGGGCCCGTTTCAAGAAGGAGGTTTAACAAACTCAGAGTTCAAACCTGAACTCTGAGTTGACTTACACAGAGTTGGAAAACTTGGAGTTTTCGGTTTCAGAACAGCTGAAAAGAGTTGGTTTAATCAACTCTGAGTAGGTTGACTCAGAGTTAGGCGCGTGCAGCGCGACTATAAAAAGCCCTGAACAAGGGAGTGAAGAAATTACGAGTCACCATGGCAACAGGACCAAGCAAAAATAGGTCTGCGTTTTTT